CTCTGCCATAAATTTGAGAATAAGTGTCATATATGGGTGATAAAAATGGCATAGGCTATTTTTTATATACTCATTATTCACTTAGTTTGTCTTTTTCAATTAACATGGAGTCTATCTTTCTCATCTGACTGGGTTTACGTTTCTTTCATAATCATATGTCAACAAACCACAATAGACACAGCATAATGTGGCATACAGTGTAAATCTTTAGGTTAATCCTTAACATTTTTTATTATAGTTCATTTGGAATCACTTTGTAACTTGATCATGATTTGTACTGGTGTGGTTTTTTTTCATTATATGCTTAATATGTTACAGCTTCATCTTTTCTCACCTCTTTAATGGAGAGAGACGATGCTCAACTACTCATCCAATGAGATTAGAGATAGATATATAGCTATATATATATATATATATATATATATATATATATAGTTCTTGATTAAAATTTTTCTTTTTTAATTTTTTGAAAGACATGCCTTATCGATTTACTTTGTTTGCGGAGTCTTAGCAGTTTGTGTATACTTCTGCTTTTAAAATCACTAATAAAACTGTTGAGCGTCAACATTTTTCATGATACTTACTTCATATGTGTCAACACAGCAACATAAAATTGCTTCTGGGGATTTAAGGTACAGCAGTTTTTAAAGGCAGTCCTTTCCAGGACTTTGCACTAAAAGGAATGCTCACCTTCTTGTTAGACTGGATAAATGTGGTATTTTTAGACATCTTGAAGTTCAGTCACTTTTATTTTACATCATATGTTCTGTTTCTGATTAAGTGTATGTATATATTTAAAAGGCAATTTAGCAAACTCTGGAGAGAGACTTTAAAACATAGTTGTGAAGTCAGGATAAGAGCAAAAGCAAAATCCTGAAATATTTCTTTATTTAAGAGAACAGGCAGTGACAGATATTGCATGGTAGTTTGTCTTCAGCTTGTTTGCTATTAATGAATCGCATGAAAACTTTAAAATCAAATTAATTAATTGCTTTCTGATGCCAAGCTGAAAGATACATGGCAGTCTGTTTAATATTGGTCACCTTTGGACGGTATGTATGTAATAAATGTGCCTAGCTTGCAGCTATCTCCCAAAATTCTCTGGCCTGCCAGCCCAAATTCTCTGGCTGGCAGCCGGCTGCTGGCTCTCATCCTTGAGGTGGAGAAGGGAAAAGGCTGGTGGCTGCAGGAATTGCTCTGCTGAGCTGCTGTTGCCTTCTTGTGTGAGTGGCAGTACAACTGCCAGGTTGTCCCCTGCCGGTGTCCCTGTCCTATGAGGGATGTATGTCCAGCCTCCAAACCCACCTGCATTCTCCTTGGGCCATGGCCCCTGCCATGTGCATTGCCACTTTCTGATTCCTGTCGTTTGAACGGTGTCAACTCATCAGTTAATGTGTCCGTGATGATTAACTTCTTGATAAAGTGATTGGATAACATTTTGGTTATCTGCTGTAGGAGGGGAGAAAGAATGACCCAGCATAGTCTTTGAGTGCCTCTATGGGAATCTGCTTGGCCCACTATGACAAAAAATTGAGGTGGTTCTGTCCTAAGTATATTTGTTTATTAAGTGTTACTTATATTTACTATATTAAATCCTGTAAACAGCAAACGTGCTATGATTTGTTATGCTTAGCACTCTTTAACACAGCACTTGCTTTGGGCTAGAAATTTACAATGTTCCTGAAAAATTCCATCTGTGTGGTTTCAGCCTTCATTAAAGCAAATAGCTCCAAAGACTTTAAAACAATTAAAATCTTGCAGTTTTGTCTGTTTATAATCATTGCAGTAAGGAGAACCATAAACTGTTTTAACAATGAAATGCAAAACAAATCTTAGCTTTTCTTTTTGAGAAAGGACTGTAGATGAAAATGAAATTAAAATGGCTTTTAGCTTTTGACTGTTCTGTGAACTGACACTTAAATTTTGAGCTGTATGAGGTGGTTGAAGTGGACAGAACTAGACTGAGGTGTGACTTCCTTTTTGGTCAGTTTGTGACCTGTATTGGCAGAGCAGTTTGTGAGTGAATTGTATCAACTGGATCTTTCAGTTTGGTAGCTTTTGTTTATTCCTGCAGGCAAATAATTTCCCTGGGGTATGGTGCAAGCAAATTTAATATCACGAGCTTTAAGAAACAGAGCAACAAGTATGGGTATTTAAGCTATCAAGCAGTCTAACATACAAGCTTAAGAAAAGAGGTGTTAAGTAGGTTCCCGCTGTGTATTTTTCTTTGTTTTGTTTTTGTTTATTTGTTTTAGTGGTTTTAAATCTTTTTTTCTTTTTTCGTGTTTTCAGTGGGAACAGCTAAATGTCTTCAATGTGTGATACTAAATAGCTGCTCAGTTCATTGGGAAAAATTTATGGGAATGTGCAATTTGTTGGTTTTTTTTGGTTGCTGTTTTGTTTTTTTTTTCCCTTGAGGTAAAAGTGCTAGTTAAAGTGCTTTTAGACCAGAAATCTTTTCAAAGAGGTTTTCTTTTTGGAATTTATCTTTTATTCCTTATAAAAATATTTCGATGGATTGGCTGCTGCTGAAGCATGAAACAGATCTACATTGAAGTGCTTGTGAGCAGTTTTGTTTTCTGAGTAGCATTAAACTGATACAGGAGACCAAGTTGTGGATTGTCCTGGAGAGGGGAGAGCAAGTAAGTGACTAGAATAGTGGTGAGAAATGCATAAACTTTGCTGCTTCTCTTTGAAGTTTACTGTATGAAACTTGGATCTGCCATACCAAGTTCCAAGTTCTGTTCTAATTCCTACCTAAATCACTTTGTGAAAGGTCAGAGAAATTACAGGAACATTTCCTTATGTTAAGGCAGTCCGTATTCCCCCCACAATGTGGAAGTACAGGAAGTGAAGAGATAATCATAACTTAGATGTCTTGCTGGCTTTTTGTCCAGAGAAGCTTAGGATGTTACTCATCTTGAGTATCCTGGATGGATTTACAACAGGAGATTAAAACAAGATACATACCATACTGTGTAATTGTGAGTAGATAAGAAAAATCTATGATTCAGTAAAATGTAATTTTCAAGTAAACTGCTTCTTTAGCATCATATGTATGTCAGGTCTGTCTTCATATTTTGGGGTTGTGATGAATCAAGCCATATACTGTCTCTGGACATATGGAAGCAATAGTGTTCCATGATGGAAACAGTGCAGCCTGACTGTGAGTACATCTAAGCTTCACATACTCATGTGAGAGGGAAGCTATCCCAGGGATATCTTCTGTAACTGCTGCTGTTTAGAAATTACAAACCTGTATATGCTTGCACTCTTTCTGCCTCTTCCCTCCAACTCTACTTATACTGAGAGTAAATGGAGCATCTGCTTCTGCCCTGTCCTTCCGTGGTTGAAAATTCTCTATTATTTCTGTTTTTGAAGTCCAAGGTTTTCTGGAAAGCAACAAAATCTGTCAGAAATAGAGTTTGTCCTCAAATTTTTGTATCCACAGTGTATTTTAAGCCAGAAGTGGTAATCCTTTTTTATAATAATCAACTTTGTTTCTCTTCCCCACATACACCTTAACTGTGTTATTTCAGTGTTTATATTTGAATAAAGCTTTGACAGTCAGAATCTGAGACAGCAGAATTCTCACCTGGGTTGAGCTTTTCCAATAAGCCCACTGAGTTTAAATGAAGACTTCTGAATCCAAGTTTTTTGATTAATTGGTGTTCAAAGGTTACTGTGCAAGTATTGCTCCTGATCTATAAACATGACTAATTCCTCTAAAGTTTTGCATATTGTTGCTTAGGTAGAACTTTGAAGCCGCTATCCAAATTTTAAAATAAATATATAAAAGTATGGAAAAATAAATATTTAATCCTTCTCCAAGTGAAAGCTTGTTTTGTACTGGAAAATCCTGTTAGGTTTCATTGAGAGAAAAACTGCTGATCTGTTTTGATCTGTTTTGATTTTTGCTCTGAATAGTAAAGTATCTGTTTTTTTGACCTTAGTTTTGAAGTTGGTCAATGCCATTGGGTTCTGTGGGTTCTTATCTGCCAGCCTGATTGGCAACTCCAATCATTGGAATTTACGAAGATGTGGACTTTTTCCATGGGCTTGGAAAAAATCTTCCAGGCATTCTTGGTGTACAGCATAGAGACTGTTGGGGGTATGTCTGGAGGATTCATTAATACATGTTAAGTGCCTTTCCTTCTGTCTTTTTAAAGAAGGAATGCCACAGAACTGAGTGAAAGTCTTCCCCATTCAGGATTGCTTTGGAAAATGTAATGGGGAAGATTCTTACGGAGAGAGGAGGATCAATATCATTCTTCAGAACTCTAAAATACTGTAAAGAATGATTATTTTTTGCCACACTTTGTGAGGACAGTAATCTAAACGTCTAAATAATAATCTAATAAATCGTTTGTAAAGAAGAACATTTTTGTAATAGCTGTGCTAGTGTTCTTAGAGGGTAACTTTTAACTTGTTTTCTTGCAGCATGTAATACAAAGGGTGATATACTTCTGTTTTATAAAGAAAAAAGCAGGCAATTAAGTTTTTCATTTAGGAAATCTGCTGTAAATATTCATGTAAACTTTTGCACGTAGCCAGTTGTGTACTTAATTGGCTGTTTTCTGTGTTTCTATATTAAAATGGATAGATGGAATCCATCTGATTGGAAAAGTTAGAGGATTAAAATAGTACTATCCATATGCATTTGCATCTATACAGAGGGAACCAAGGTATATGTATGTGTGTGTGTCTATGGGGGTGGGCAGGCACTGTGAAAAGGTGTTTTGTTACCTACAAATGCTTGAGCAGTTGTTACCTGTACAGGTGAGACATTTATGTTAACAAGCAGGATTTCTTCGTTATGTTTCTCCTTTTCTGTTTTTGGGATAATTGTGTGTTGATTGGTAACTATAAGAAACTTTTAGTGTTGTTTTTTGCCATTGTTTTGTTAATCAGGAAAACATACTACTGGAGGAGTTAGCTTCCACAAATTCAATACATGTATTCTTTTTATCCTATGGAATGGATATTTGCTATATTAAAAGAACGGTGGTAACTTTTTTGGAATGTTTTGTTTCTACATGACTATATAAAAGTATCATCTGAGTAAGAATTAAAACTTAAAGTGCAGGCTAGATCCTTAGTTTATGATTTTACAAGTGCAGGTGTGCTTAATTTAGAGTACAGTGTTGAGCTTGACTCCTTTGATGTGGTTAGTGTGCCTACCTAATTGTTTTCAGGATTGCTTTGGATATGAATCTTTAGTCAAGCAGTGATTTCAGAGGCATTGTGGGAACACTTGAAAATACTGTAACCAGTAAGTGAGCTATATTAGTATCTGGGTAAGTGTTACTGCTGAAGTAATAAATAACACAACCATCTTTGGAGCTTGAACTTCTGAAATAACATGGCAGTAATATATGCATAAAGGCTATTTCCATGTTTTAGCTTTGTCTTTTACTTTAGGTGATGGAAAGTAATTGTTATAGGACTGCAATTTATTAGGACTTACGTAGCATAATTAAGTGAGCAAGAATCAAATGTCACCATAGGATTTGCTGTGCTAAGCATAAGTAGATGGAGAACAAATGTGTCCCATTTAGAATCTAAAATGTCTGTTAACTATGCTGTGAGTAGGGCTGAAAATAATTTTCTCAGTTTTTTCACTGTAGTATCAGGACAAACTCATTACAGCAGTATTTTGTCGGGTTTTTTTTGAGGTGTATTTATTTTTCTTCTTTATTTAGATGTTGAAACATTTATTTCCCAAACACTAAAAGGAGAAAATCTATCCAAGAAAGCTAAAGAAAGAAGAGAAGTTCTTCTTAAGAAGATGAAGGATATTAAGGCAAGGTAAGTGAACTCCATGGCATTAATATGTTATAAAGTCACTTATTGATAACTTAAAGTTTTTTGAAATCTTTTAATAAACATTAACCGTATTAACAATTAAACAATATGTCTAGGTCCTGATTTTTTAAAAAAATCTGTATGGGTTCAAGTCTTTCCTTCTCAAAACTGCTACAATTTACTAAGAAATGGGATCAGAATGATTTGTCCCATTTGAATTCCTTGATATTCTAAAACCTGATTGCAGGCTAGTTGAGCGGAGCCTTCACCTCCCTCTGCTTTGGTAAGATTGATTAAAACATGAGAAATATAATGTACTGAGGATACGAATTAGCTTCCTATCACCATACTCAGCTGGTAAGACAGAACAATTCAATGCTGACTTTGCTTTACTACATATTCTGTTGTTTAGCTCTGTAATAGAAAACTGAAACATAACTGAAAACTATTTATAGGTCATAAGTTTGTTTAAGCAAACTGCTATGACAGACAAAGCAGAGGGCTGTGGGTGTTTTTGTTTTCATATCAAGGATGATCTGAGAGAGTTTTATGGTGTATTAATTTCAGTCAATTCAGCTAAAGAGATTGAGCTATACTTACATTTGCACTACTGAATATTCTCTGACGAATATCTTCACTTGTAACTCTTATCAACTAGGATATAGCCTAGTACTTGCTGTTCTTTCCACATTGTTGTTTTCATAGTGTTTTTCTAGTGATCACTCCTGTGTGATATCTCCTAAGCATTCCATTCATGGTATGCTTCTGCCCCTGTGGCAACTTGTTTATAATTTCAAGGACAGCACAATCATCTGGTAAGGGTGCTAACTGGAGGGAGACATGAGACATATCCCAGAATCTTGTATTTGAAGTTTTGTGTTCCTTTCATTCAGGCTGTAAATGCTTAGGTAACTAGCTCTCCCTCATATTCTCTTTTTAGAAAGTAGTATTTTATTAATTTATTTTTTCTTTCCTATGTTTTCCATTCTGGGTTATTGAGTTAACTGTGACTGTGCAGATGACTTGCACATACAGTGCTACTGACTTTTTTCTTGATGCTTTTTCGGATGATGAAATATCAAAGGGATGGAGCCTGCATTTTTGAGCATATTGTCACTGAATCTTTTGCTATTCATTTATGTGACCCCATGGTTTCACATCTTATTTTAATTTCTAATGCCTTCCTCATTTCCTGTAATATTATTCACTGTTAACAGTGTTTTGCTTTTCATGCGGGCTACAAAATACACGCACATTGTAGTCTTCTTTGATTTTAACATCCCACATGTTGGGCTGTGTCTATTACTGCCACTTGCTACACTGGATTTCTTAGAGCTGGCCTTTTATCTCTGTTTGCATTTCTCAGTTTCTTATCTCTGGGCCATTCCTTTCCCTTCTGCTCGTTTCTTGCCAGCATCTCCTTATTGACTAACCTGACCTAATCCTTACTGCTGCTTATTGTTCATAAAAATGATCTTGGCAGCTGCATTTTATTTGCCAGTTAGTTCATAGCCCATGAATGCTTCTTGAATGCCATTCTACATAACTCTGTCCTGATAATTTGTCTGTATCATCAAACTGCATTCTGTGATTATTTTAGTTTCTGAAATACCATGATTTTGCTCGGAAGAAATAGTGTGTAATAGTATATTTTCCCTCTGGGATGATAAAATGTTTTGGTTTTCTAGGCATTATGTAAGTTGAGATCTCCTTATTTGAAAAGGAATTCTTATTTAGAATGCTTTAACTTTTATCTTTCTGGTTAATTATTAATATGTTTTCATTTGGATTTCTGTAAAATTACTGTAGCTATACCCACATTTTTAAATTTTTTTATTTTGTTTCCTATTGAACTACCGGTTTATTTCAAAACATGTTGAATGGTTTTACTTGTGCACAAAAATTTAGGAAATTTGTTAAGATTTAGAAAGTTTACTAAAAGATGCTTTTGTGTTTTTATACTTCAAGATATCTGAGCAGATGTGTGTTCCTAGAAAAAGCTGCTCAGTCTGGATTTGGTTTTGCTCAAGTTTTCCTTGAAGTGACTGGGGTTTCTCTCAGCTGCAAAGGCTAAAGGAAAACAGTAAATAAGCCAAAGTTAAAGACTTGAGAATTTTCAAGGAAAACTTGCAGCACTGAATTTCGACCACAAAAACTTGTTGTAAACTGCTTGTTGTTCTGTGGCGTGTCCTTTTGCCGTGGGTTTGCAAGTGTGCGTTGCTTTATGATGTTTCTTCTTCTTCTTTTCCTGCAGTTATCCTCAGGAATTCCCGGAGCAAGGTGAGTCCCGCGCCGTTCCCGCCGCGCTGTTTGTCCGGTGCTGCGGCCGCCCGAGGCCGAGGGTGCTGGCGCCCCCTGCTGCGGCTGGCGGGGAACAGCAGCCCGGGGCGCGCACACCCGCCGGGGCCGGGCCGGCACGGAGCGCGGCACCGAGCGCTCGCTGATGGAAAGGTCGGCCTAGAAACGTAGCTCGGGATTTAATCTATAAAGGAGCTCCTTATGGAGCTTATTTATTATAAATTTAGTAGAAATGGAGCTTTATTAGCGAGAGAGCAGCCTCGCGAAAGACCATGTGATGTGCGTGTTTTTTTTTGTTTTTTTTTTCTCCCCAGAGGAAGTGTATGCAAAGTAGCCTGCTTAGGAGATAAAATTTTCGAGAGATTACTTATTTCAGCCTTTTTTCTTAACGTTGCAAAAGTCTTCAATTCCATAGTGATGTTTCTTTAACCTTTTAATAGGATCATCTCGTGGCAATATGATATTGGCTTTCGATCCACACTGAATGAATGTTTTCACAGTGCAGCGGGAGCTCAGACCTTTAGCTGGAGAGGAGATGATTTAGTGTGCAAGTAATGAAAACTGAAGTGTGGGTTATCTATTGTCTTCTAGTGGAGTTTAAACAAAGCTGCAGAGTTCAGTTTAGAGAAGACTGAGGGGTTTGTTGCTACAGTGTTCTGTTCTGTAACTAAACCTGGAAGGGCTCTTATTTCCATGATGCTAATTCTTGAGGTCATGACCTATAGCCTGTGGATGCTGGTATGAGGGTCACAGTGCGAGGTCAAAAAAGCCTATGCAAAGCTTCACTTTTTGCAGTAGTTGAAGAACTGTCTGTTTCTGGACAAGGAGGTTCAAATGTGTAGGCTGCAGCCTGCCTCCTGAGAAAGTGAAAATATGTAAGTCATATTAGGCAAGTAATGTTGTAACAAGGCACAACAAGTTCATACATTTCTTATGCCTGTTTAAATCAAGTTATGCAGCCATAACAGTTCAACAGAAAGGCACAGTGCAACTTGAAACTTCCCAAAGATTCAAGATTGCCAAGATTCTGTAAACTCCAACTATGTGATTGTTTAAAAATTGTATTACAGTAATTTGCTATTTTTTTATATTGCATCTCAGCACTGTACAGAAGATAAAATGTAGTTTTTCTCGTCAGTCCAACAGAACTGAGTGTGGGAAAGTAAAATGTTATTTTATTAAGAAAATTGCTAACATGAAATTAGGTGGGGTGGTTGTTTCATTGCAAACCTATTTGACTTTGGGAGAGCATGTTTTTGAAGATTTAATAACTTCCTGAGGCTCTGACTCTGTAATAAGCATGAGAGTTGCTTACAAAAAGCAGAGTTTGCATTTACTGCTTTGTGTAATTTGAAGGTCAAGAAAATTCTAGTCTATTTACTTTCTTCATTGGTAATTTGATTCAGAATTTATTTTCCAGTTCAACAAATTATTAACAAAAATGAGATTTCATTATCTCTAGCAAAATGGATGATTTGATTTGTATAGTCTGTAATTGTTACTGCATAACTTGCTGTGATTTCTGTGAAAATTATATTCAGTCTTATTCTTTTTATTAGAGTACATTTGATTCTTAAGAATGATATATTGCCTTTTAAAAAATTATTGTGATGTATCTCTGGTTCAGATCATAGAACTATGTATAAAGGCTGAGGCTTGTGAACACTGACACCTTAGTTTTCAGTATTTTTCAATAAAATGAAAGTTATACCATTGTTTTCTGCAAGCAGGGATACATTTCTCTAAATTAATGTGCATTTGCTGCATGCAGAAATATAAAAAAATATGAGAAATAGGAGCCTGCACTTGCTTGAAAATTGTTTGAGGCAATGTGATTCAGTGGTATGAGTTGTTGGTGTAATGTCCAGAGTTCAAGAAGTATGTGCTAAACTTTATTTAGTTGTGTCATTCTTACTTTAGGATTGTACAAATTAGGCGTGACTTTTATAGGTGTAGAACAAAGGACTCACACGGAGATAAGCAGTCAGATTCTTGGCCAGCTCCTAGTGTAACAAAGCACTGGCAGCAGCTGAGGGAGGTCAACTTTTGTGCCCATTTTCATACCTCTGTGCACACCTAGACATTTGAAAAATGGAAGATTTGGAAAGTATTGAAAACTCAGAAGGCAGTGATAGTCAGTTCCACCCCCTCCAGAGAAAGAAGAAATATCTCAACATATAAGGTAAAAAAAGGATAATGTCTTTTAGGAAGAAAGGAGTGCTAGGAGCAGAAATTTGCAAACTACACTGAAACAAGCTATCAAGAATAAAAACTACTGTGAATATTTAAACTCCATATTTACTGTTCTTGGTATTGTGGTAGCTGTCACTCCATTTTTAAAATGTAAATAAAATAATCTCTATTCGAGCTGAAAGGGAAGGTGAAGAATGGTACATACTGTCATGGTATGTTATCATGATACAGTAGTATACATCAGCTGTTCTCAAGAATCTTGTGAGTTGTGACCTGTCATCCTTTCAGAGGCATCCAGAAGTATTTTTGGAGACTGAAAGAAGTGGACTAACACTTTCAAAATTCATGTATTTCCTGTAGGACATAATGATACTTGACTCTGCTCTCAAACAGCAGCTCCTTCAGCTTGTGAGTTGTTCCACAAGGATGTATTGTGAGCATACTTTCCACTCCACTCTCTTTCATCACTGAATGTTTTTGAAGTCCCTCTAACTTTACATGTAGTCACTAGCTGGTTTGACTAAGCTATTTGTAAACTCTTGTTTTAGGGGCTTTGGCCAATAGCATACAGAATCCTGCCTATCCATAAGGATAAAGCAAGGAGGTTTGAAAGAATAATAAAAAAAAAAATGAAGAGCAATGTGTGCAAGTAAAGCCAGACTCCTTAAAACTGTAATCACCAGTGTGCATCTCTCTCAGAAAGTGCATACATATTTCCTTGCAGCCAGATTGATGGATTTGAGGGCTTTCCTGAATCCTCCTTGAAGGAAGCCTTCTGATGTTGTCTGTCAGGTCAGTAAATATGCTGGCAAAAGCATCTTTTGTGTCTATATAGACCGAAAAAAAATGAAGCTTTTTAGGAGAAGTGGGTACACATGCAAGTGAAAGACACAAAATTAATTGTATGGGAAAATACTTAATTCTTGTGTGTGATATGTTACCTGATTTAATGTGAATTTTACAGTTGTGTTGTTAATTTATGGATAAAGAAAGTCCATGTTGTTCTTATGACCAAAAATGTACAATTATATCCAATCCACTGGTCTTTCATAAAATTTTATTTTTTAAAGTTATTAGGCATTTAATGTATCTATTTTATTTTTAAATTAAAGAAGCCTGTAGAAATGTCTTTCTCTTAGACACTGCTGCCTTTTTTTCTTTTAATTTGAAATATTTGACTGTTTATATAAGCGGTTTAAACAAAACTAAAAAGCTGTAGTCATACTCAGTGACCTGTTCTAGATCTTAGAATTGGGAAGAAACTTGAGAACAAAGTTAATTTGCATACAAATAGGATTCATTTTTTTATAAGACTAATATTCCCCTAAGAGTATAAAAGTCTGAACTTTGTCAGAGATTCTGACTTAATACAGTTTTTGGCATTTCTCTGTTTTGAGATTAATTGAATCAATACTGCGACTGCCAAAATGTTTAGTTAAAAGAACCTTGTTTTCCATTTATGCTAAAAATAGCGCTAAAGTTGGCAGAAGCACCCTAAGCTTTAGAAACTGTATTTGTGCTTGAAGTTCACTTGCCATCTGTACTATGCATTTATTTTAGTAAAATATATCTTTTTAATCACTTTTCACAAAATATTTTGGCTCAATGTTGAAAGTGAGACACCAAAAGTACTAGCCAAATCGAGTCGTACTATGGGAATTTGCAGAACCAATTCCTCCTAAAGCATTCATTGCACCTCGTATCTGATCTGCAGCACTGAATTATGCAGAAAAGTATGACATGACATTTTCTAACTAGAATTTTTCACTCTTATAAAAAATTATAATGGTCCACTTTTGTTTTTATTTCAGTGTAACATAATAAAGGGTAAATCTGTGTCTCTAGGGCTTTGTTGTTATTCACTATGTAATTATTGGGAGCACCTGTAGAAAACCTTTAGGTGACTCAGATGCTTCTGGCTCTTGGCAGAGCAGAGTGTGTCTGGAGCCTGAGACCTCTGCTTCCTGGAAATAGTCAAGCTGTTAGAGTAACACTATATGCAAAGAATTTGTATTTTGTATTTTTTTTTTCTCTTCTGTTTTTGTGCAGAGGTCACATTTCCTTTTTATTTTTTTCCCATCTGTACATTCTTTTTCAAGAAATGGCAGCAAGTAGAAGTCTCTTTGGACTTGAGAAAGGGAGTCAGTGTCTTGTGGTCACCAGAGCTGCATGTGCATGCAAATTCTATATTTTGAACTTTTTACTCAAGACCATAAATACATCGTTGGTATTAACCATAAATGGCAAAGATATCGCTTAGTCGTTACCCAGTTCTTTGAGGATCATCATGATGTATTTCTGGAGAGACCATCAAATGCATTAAAAGTGTGCCAAATATCACTCTATCCCAAAAGTCTGGGAGGTTTCACTGCAGGCAAGTCACTGTGTTGTCCCTTTCAGCTACACATAGCTGTTACCTGTGAAGTGTCCACGCCAAGTGCAGTTTCAAGTAATATGAGATACATCCACAAGATGTTTTTGTCCTGATATGTATCATAAGAACAAGAGGCAACTCGGCAAGCAAAAGTTGCAATTGCTTTTCTTGCTTGAAGCATATTTGTTTGCAAACTTCATCTTGTTTCAGTATTGTTTTAAGAAGTAGCTGCTAAAGAGTTTCTACTTGACCTTTAAAAAATAAGCCGTTAAAAATCATCATGTTAATAGGGAACCCTAGAAGGCCCTTCAGGAATGAGTGTGTTGGAGCAGACTGCATGGCAAAGCATGCATTGAAAAATTGATTGTCAGAAGAATCCAGTCTTGCTGGGTGACTGGTGGATTGGGTCAGTAGC